ACAGAAAATTAACAAGGATATCCAGGACTTGAACTCAGGCCTGGACCAAGCAAACCTAATAGACATTTACAGAACTCTCCACCCCAAATCCACAGAATATACATTCTTCTCAGCACCACATCACACTTACTCTAAAATTGACCACATAATTGGGAGTAAATCACTCATCAGCAAATGCAAAAGAATGGAAATCGTAACAAACAGTCTCTCAGACCACAGTGCAATCAAGTTATAACTCAGAATTCAAAAACTAACTCAGAACCACACAGCTTCATGGAAACTGAACAACTTGCTCTTGAATGTTGACTGGATAAACAATGAAATGAAGGCAGAAATAAAGATGTTCTTCGAAACCAACGAGAATGAAGACACAACATACCAGAATCTCTGGGACACATTTAAAGCAGTCTCTAGAGGAAAATATATAGCAATAAGTGCCCACATGAGAAACAAGGAGAGATCAAAAATTGACACCCTATCGTCAAAACTGAAAGAGCTAGAGGAGCAAGATCAAAAAATCTCAAAGTCTAGCAGAAGACAAGAAATAGCTAAGATCAGAGCAGAACTGAAGGAGATAGAGACACAAAAAACCCTTCAAAAAATCAATAAATCCAGGAGCTGGTTTTTTGAAAAGATCAACAAAATAGACAGACCACTAGCCAGATTAATAAAAAAGAAAAGAGAGAATAACCAAATTGATGCAATAAAAAACGATAAAGGGGATATCACCACAGATTCCACAGAAATTCAAACCATCATCAGAGATTATTACAAACAACTCTATGCACACAAACTAATAAACCTGGAAGAAATGGATAAATTCCTGGACACTTGCCTCCTGCCAAGCCTAAACCAGGAAGAAGCCGAAACCCTGAACAGACCCATAACAAGGTCTGAAGTTGAGGCAGCAATGAAGAGCTTACCACCCAAAAAAAGCCCAGGTCCAGATGGGTTCACGGCTGAATTCTACCAGACAGACAAAGAGGAGCTGGTACCATTTCTTCTGAAACTATTCCAAACAATACAAAAAGAGGGAATTCTTCCCAAATCATTTTATGACACCAACATCATCCTGATTCCAAAACCCGGCAGAGACTCAACAAGAAAAGAAAACTTCAGGCCAATATCCATGATGAACATAGATGCAAAAATCTTCAATAAAATACTGACAAGCCGATTGCAACAGCACATCAAAAAGCTTATCCACCATGATCAAGTAGGCTTCATCCCGGGGATGCAAGGCTGGTTCACCATACACAAGTCTATAAATGTAATTCACCACATAAACAGAACCAAAGACAAAAACCACATGATTATCTCAATCGATGCAGAGAAGGCCTTTGACAAAATTCAACAGCCTTTTATGGTAAAAACACTCAATAAGCTAGGTATCGATGGAACGTATCTCAAAATAATAAAAGCTATTTAGGACAAACCAACTGCCAATATCATACTGAATCGGCAAAAACTGGAAGCATTCCCCTTGAAATGTGGCACCAGACAAGGATGCCCGCTCTCACCACTGCTATTCAATATAGTATTAGAAGTTCTAGCCAGAGCAATCAGGCAAGAAAAAGAAATAAAGGGCATTCAAATAGGAAAGGAGGAAGTCAAATTGTCTCTATTTGCAGATGACATGATTGTATATCTAGAAGACCCCATCGTCTCAGCCCCAAACCTCCTGAAACTGATAAGCAACTTCAGCAAAGTCTCAGGATACAAAATCAATGTGCAAAAATCACATGCATTCCTATACACCAATAACAGACTTAAAGAGAGCCAAATCAAGAAAAAACTTCCATTCACAATTGCCACAAAGAAAATAAAATACCTAGGAATACAACTAACAAGGAACGTAAAGGACCTCTTCAAGGAGAACTACAAGCCACTGCTCAATGAAATAAGAGAGGACACAAACAGATGGAGAAACATTCCATGTTCATGGTTAGGAAGAATCAATGTTGTGAAAATGGCCATACTGCCCAAAGTAATTTACAGATTCAGTGCTAACCCCATCAAGCTACCAATGACCTTCTTTGCAGAACTGGAAAAAACCACCTTAAACTTCATATGGAACCAAAAGAGAGCCCGCATAGCCAAGTCAATTCTAAGCAAAAAGAACAAAGCGGGGGGCATCACACTACCAGACTTCAAACTATACTACAAGTTTACAGTAATCAAAACAGCATGGTACTGGTACCAAAACAGAGATATAGACCAACGGAACAGAATAGAGGTCTCAGAGGCAACACAACATATCTACAACCACCTGATCTTTGACAAACCAGACAAAAACAAGCAATGGGGAAAGGATTCCCTGTTCAATAAATTGTGTTGGGAAAGCTGGCTAGCCATGTGCAGAAAGCAGAAACTGGACCCTTTCCTGACACCTTACACTAAAATTAACTCCAGATGGATTAAAGACTTAAACATAAGACCTAACACCATAAAAACCCTAGAAGAAAATCTAGGCAAAACCATTCAGGATGTAGGTGTAGGCAAGGGACTTCATGACCAAAACACCAAAAGCATTGACAACAAAAGCCAAAATAGACAAATGGGACCTAATCAAACTCCACAGCTTCTGCACAGCAAAAGAAACAATCATTAGAGTGAATCGGCAACCAACAGATTGGGAAAAAATTTTTGCAGTTTCCCCATCTGACAAAGGGCTGATATCCAAAATTTACAAAGAACTAAAACAGATTTACAAGAAAAAAACTAACAAGCCCATTCAAAAGTGGGCAAAGGATATGAACAGACACTTTACAAAAGAAGACATACGTGAGGCCAACAAACATATGAAAAAATGCTCATCATCACTGGTCATCAGAGAAATGGAAATCAAAACTATATTGAGATACCATCTCACGCCAGTTAGAATGGCGATCATTAAAAAATCTGGAGACAACAGATGCTGGAGAGGATGTGGAGAAATAGGAACACTTTTACACTGTTGGTGGGAGTGTAAATTAGTTCAACCATTGTGGAAGACAGTGTGGCGATTCCTCAAGCACCTAGAAATAGAAATTCCATTTGACCCAGCAATCCCATTACTGGGTATATATCCAAAGGATTACAAATCGTTCTACTATAAGGACACGTGCACACAAATGTTCATTGCAGCACTGTTTACAATAGCAAAGACCTGGAACCAACCCAAATGCCCATCGACGATAGACTGGATAGGGAAAATGTGGCACATATACACCATGGAATATTATGCAACCATCAAAAACAATGAGTTTGGGTCCTTTGTAGGGACATGGATGAACCTGGAAACCATCATTCTCAGCAAACTGACAGAAGAGCAGAAGATCAAACACCACATGTTCTCACTCATAGGCGGGTGTTGAACAATGAGAACACATGGACACAGGGAGGGGAGCACTACACACTTGGGTCAGCTGGGGGGAAATAGGGGAGGGATAGTGGGGGGTGGGGAGCTGGGGAGAGATAGCAAGGGGAGAAATGCCAGATGTAGGTGATGGGGAGGAAGGCAGCAAATCACACTGCCACGTGTGTTCCTATGCAACAATTTTGCATGTTCTTCACATGTACCCCCAAACCTAAAATGCAATAAAACAAATAAATGGGGGAAAAAAAAAAGAAAAGAAAGGGTTTTATATGAATGAAGTTTGGCATCCTTCACCTGAAAATGATATATTTTTCTCCTCAGTTTTAAAAAATGGCTATGTTTCTAGACAATCTTCAAGGAAATATCGTATCATAAGCTCTCAAGGAGACAGGTTAAAAACAGCAAATATTTTTAACCCTTTCCCAGTTAGAAGAAAAAAGTACAGTTCACTACCAGTACTCATTTATTTTTACATAAACATGCTCTTTGAGGCTAAAGCAAATCTGTTTAATTTTTAATTTGAAAATAAAATGTAAAAACTGTTCTTGGAATTATTTCTAAACAGAACTAACATGAGAATTGTCACAATCATCTGGATCATCTATTTAGGAAAAAATTGGATTCATCAAATAAATCTTCAGCCAATGCTGTTCAAGAAAAAAGTTAACAACACACATAAGAATGCTATACTCTTTGGGAGGTTGAGGCGGTCAGATCAAGAAAGAGTTCAAGAGATCGAGACCATCCTGGCCAACACAGTGAAACCCTGTCTCTACTAAAATACTGGGTGTGATGGCCCGCACCTGTAGTCCCAGCTACTCAGGAGGCTGAGGCAGGAGAATGGCTTAAACACGGGAGGTGGAGGTTGCAGTGAGCCGAGATTGTGCCAATGCACTCCAGCCTGGTGCCTGGTGACAGAGCGAGACCCTGCCTCAAAAAAAAAGAAAAAAAAAGGAATGCTATGTTTTCTAGGATTTGACATTTTTAGTGATCCAGAGTTACTATATTTTGTAAATGGAAACACCACTACTAAAAACAGAATGCTACAAATAGAATAATGTCTTTTGTTTCCAAAGTCGATATCCTAGAGTGATACTAAATGATAATAAAAGGGAAATATTTTGTGGCAAAGTTTTCTCGGGGTAAAAGCTGTGGCCACGAGCCTTACCTGTGAATATTCTGAGATAAATGGGAAAAGAGTTAAAGGGTCTTTGGGGATAAGAAGATCAATAGTAGCACAGTCAAATCAATTTCAGGAAACACATTTTTACTGAAAACCAACTATTTATCCTAATTGAACTGATACAAGGGTTTTATTTAGTTACTATTATCATCATCATCTTCATTTTACTGATGAAGAAAACCAAGAATTTCAGTTTGTAGAGTAACATAGCCAAGGGCACACTAGTTGTGAGGAACCAAATTCAGGTCTACTTGACTCTAAACCTGTGCTTACTTTGGTCTTTAAACGTAAACAGATAGCCCTGTATAGCCAGTGGCTATTGGATAGCACGCGTTTAGAAAATAAATGGGTGTCCCTGAATGACTAGAATGTTTCATTGATCACAATCTAAACCTAATAGACCATGGGTTTCTCTGGTTGCCCTTAATGTTACCTGTTCTCAGAGAAACAGCAACTTACTGGAGAGTGATGTATAAAGTGCAAAGGTTTTGAGACTAGATAGTTCTTTCATTCTTGTTTCCTCCACACTTTTGCAGAAAATGTGTTCCCAGGCATACAATTTTAGAAGTTTGATGCCTTTCAATATTTCATTTGTTTTCTTCAGTCTCTCAGTGGAATAATCCTATAAAACAAAGGAAGAAAAATAATACCAGCTGCATCCAAGTGAATCAGAAAGGCAGGACCATGTAATGGACAGGGATTAAGGAGATCTAGACGTCTGACTGGCCCTGCCACTCACTAACTAGGTTGTGAAATTCCCAGAAGAAGTAGTTAAACCCTTTGTGCTTCATGAAACAAAGAGTCTAATGAGATGGACTCAAAATGTCTTTCCACTTAAAAACACATATGTCTCTGTTGCTTAGGTTTACATAAAGGCTAAAAGCAATTTTCTAAAGTTTCACATGATTTCCTTTAATCATATCTGCAGATAATACAGACATAAATTTAAACAACTAATAAGGAGACTTATAATGGCTCCTAACATCTAACTCATTTTCTTCACCCATCAACTTTACCATTCATACTTACAAGAAGAAAAACAAGAAATTTAAGAAAAGTTAACGGGCTTCTTATTTGAAAATATGAAGGTACGGAGTTAAGTGCATTCATATTGCATCTTCATAACAGCTATTGAAACTAAGCCTATTATCTTAGCTATCAAGAAATTTCCACATACTTCTTTAGAAGCTCTTTATTAAGGCCTAAGTTAGATTTACTAACAACTTGAAATAATTGTAGAGAGATTCATAGCAGATACAAAAGCTTCAATTTAGCTAGCTGTTTCAGCTTCCTTCATCATGACATGTAATACTAGAATTACTAGCAAGGTACAGTATGACCAATTAACTATCAAAAGGGGCAGTAGAGTGGTCAAAAGACAGATGGGAGAAAGCAGAAGTAGCAAACAGCCTGGTTTTTGTTCAACTTTTGGTTTTTACAGAGTCTTAAATGCCTATCAAATGATTGTTCAATGAGTGAATGAATATGGTATGAATAGCTAAACAAAAGACAGATGTTTGGGAATCATAGCTCTCCTAAGCTCCTCTTCCACACCTTTCTGTACGTGTGTGTTGGAGTCAAAGGGATAGATGGTTCCAACAGAAATAATGAGTAACCTACCCAAAGCAGCAGAAAAACAAGTGATAAAAACCACTTGTATCACATGCAACTTGCTTGTCATAGTAGAAACACAAATGAGAAACAATCCCGTCAGTGGTAGCATCTCCACATTTTATGCCTGATTTACAGACAGCCTTGCTCACATTTAATCAAACTTTATTTGTAAACATGCTGTCAACAATTTTATTATTTGCAAATATTTCTCTAAAAGCAGCACATTTGTGCTCAAATAAAATAATTTCATGGCAAATTGAAGCCAGAAAGGGTCAATAATTGGGCTTTTTCTTGCTTGCCAAGTTGACCAGAAACATTTTCAGCAAGAGCAGCTGCCACTAAAACATGTCAGTGTGACTCCATAGATCCTCACATGGTTTGAGTCTACTTTAGAAAAATATAATTTCAGAAGCAGCAAACTTGACCCTTCCCTTGTACCTCGATCCATTTCTTGCATGTCAATAACTAACATTCAATAGAGTCAAAGTATGCTTAAGAAGATTCTTTAGACAAGTGATCTAAGAAGACTGAAAGCCTCATCACCTCATGGTACTTTAAAACATCAGGAACTGTGATTCTAGTATTTTGAATCTACGGTCATCAAGTTTTAAATTTCCAATCCACTTTTAAAAATTGTTTTTGCAACATGGAAAATCCACATTTGCTGCTGAAGAACTGAAGTGAAATACAATTGTTTCCAAACTATCCTGAGTGGTATGCATTAATTTCCTATACTATTAAATTAAAATAGCATTTCTCAATTTTTCTAATTAAGTTTCTGAAAGATGTTACTTACAAGTGTACTTTTCTGAGCCTCTGCCAACTTTGTAGCAATGAAGTACTGAATTGGCGCAAGAAGCACAATGACAGCTGCACCAACCAATGCACTTGATCCAAGTAAATTATAGAGCAGAATCACTCCCATTATGATCTAGAGAGAAAAACACATGGAAAAGGGAAAATGAATGGGGGTGTGGGAGCCATTGCATGAAAGGATATAACTTTTCATGCAAATATAGTATTTCTTAATTATCATATTAAGTTTATTTGGAAGTCAACTGTATTAGTCAGGGTTCTCTAGAGGGACAGAACTAACCAAGTCAGCCCAACTGTGACAGTTGGGTTTTGCTATGAGTTATTTGGCGAAAGCTAAGTGCTAGGAATGTACTTTTAGTGTTATAATCTGCACAACTGGTGTCAAACCAATTTATTGCATGAAGTTGCAAAGTGGTCCCACGATGCTTCTGACCTTCTAAAGCAGTCTTCAGATTTTTAAAAGGGCATATAATTTTTCTTGAAAATGCTGCCACTCACCATAAATTTGACATTCTATATTCTCTTGGAATTGTAATAGCTTTTCAAGGCTGAGAGGATTGAAAGCAGTGAGCAGCATAATGTGAGTAGAGGATGGCTGTCTGTGGACTAAAGGAATGAGCCGAGCTCCTCACCTCCTTATGACTCCAGATGCCACTTAATGTCAGGAAGCCTGGCTCTAACTAAAACTGTTAAAAAGCTAAAGTTGGTACTCTATTTTAACATACTTCTCTTTAAAGTTATTTCCCCAAACCCAGGGCGAAACCATTCAGACCTATCCTCTCTGGTTTGCCACTGTCTTTTTTCTCCTTTAAAAACTCAGAATTTAACCTTGCAATCCTATCTTCTCTTTCTAATATATATATATATATATATATATATATATATATATATTTTGCTCAGCAGTTCAACTTATCATGGTTCAAAATATCAACTAATGAACTGTATCCAAGCAATTCAAGTATATAATTTATGCCTCTATGCCAATGATAATACCTTAATAGCAGTTTTCTTGGGGCAATGACACGTTTACTGCCTAGCTAATTAGGTAGTTTGGAAAATCCAATGAAAACAAAAATTTCCTTAAGATCATCCATGATGTAGTCATTCAGAGATTTTTGGTGCACTTGAAATTATACCACCAAGGCAGCTACCTAATTATCCTTTCTATAAGAACATTTTGATAAAATGAGACAAAGTATATCTTAAATCTTACTTTGTGCCAAGCACTGTGCATAATATATAGTTTTATTTGCCTTGGTTTTCCATTTAAAAATGAAAAGGCAAACAATAAATTAAAAACTAGCATCCTATTACTTTTGCACTTTAATAAATGTGGGACACAGGGACTTAGATGATAGATTGTATCAAATAAGATCTAGAGCTTAAGCTTCATCTACAGAATGCAAAAGTTAAGATAATTTTAAATGTCCAGCTTATACAGAGAAAAAACTGAATATATTTCTTTTGCCATTTTTACCCAGTTAGGGGAACAAGAAAACATGTGTCTTTACTAAAATGTTATTTTACATAGGAAATAGCTAAATAGCACTCCAGTTTGTCACTGTTCCTACCATTTTATGCAGTTTAACATGTTGCAATATACTAGCTATTGAAACTATGGGATGGATTAAAGCAATTGCTCTCGTTTATAAATGCTATAAAATAGCTTCCCAAAATGAAAGGGGTCAAACTGTGGCTCTGCGACTTTCATAAATCAAGGCAATAATACTAACAACAATTACTGGATGCCCAGAAAATGCTGGGCACTATGCTAGATGTTACAGACATATTAACCTATTTAACCTTGACAATTCCCCACTACTTTATGAGAAAGATAGTACTCAGTTTGCAGTTAAGAAAACTAGGGCTGTGAGGAGTTATGCAGTTGTGTAAATGAGGGGTACAGCAGATATTTGAAGTCAAGCAGTATAATTTCAAACTCCTCTTTCTTAACCTATGCTATAACACTTATGAGTCTCAGCTTCCTTTTCTATAAAAGAGTGTAATATTTGCACATTCAAACACTATACGTATACCTTTTATGGAGCTAAACATTTTAACTGCTTTTTGTTTCCTGTGCAAACAAAACTCTTACTTATATTGATCTACTTACCTGAACAGGCATAGCCCATAGATTGGGACACAGGAACAAAAACCACATGAGTTGATTAGTTTCAATGGCAACTAAGTTGTTGATCTGCCCCAGAGTCATCTCCCCCATGGATAAGTTAGATGTAGAGAGCCTAAGAATTTTATTGTAAATCATGGCCTACAAAAAAAAAAGGCGAAGAAGAAGAAGAATACATAAAGCTCTAAATTTAAAATTGACACTATAATTATTTATTTTCATTGAAAATAAATAGCAAACATTTAAAAAAAAAAAAGAACAATTCTATAAGGTCATCTTCTTAAATCAACCACTATAGTTTCTTTCTTTCTTTTTCTTTCTTCCTTTTTCTTTCTTTCTCTCTCTCTCTTTCTTTCTAACTTTCTGTCTTCTGTCTTTCTTTCTATCTTTTTTTGATGGAGTCTCGCTCTGTCACCCAGGCTGGAGTACAGTGGCAATATCTCGGCTCACTACAACCTCCGCTTCCCGGGTTCAAGTGATTCTCCTGCCTCAGCCTCCTGAGTAGCTGGGATTACAGGCATGTGCCACCATGCCTGGTATTTTTAGTAGAGACAAGGTTTCACTGTATTAGCTAGGATGGTCTTGATCTTCTGACCTCATGATTTGCCCGCCTTGGCCTCGCAAAGTGCTAGAATTACAAGCGTGAGCCATCGTGCTTGGCCCACTACAGTTATTTCTGTTTCAGTATAGCTATTTTCAGTCCTCAACCAAATACAGACTTTTTTTTTTCTAGTGATATAATAAAAAGATGCATTAAACTTTAAGCATGAACAATGCTTAAACTCTAGATGCATTAAACTCTAGAACAAACAGAAACAGATAAGTAAATGTAAAATTTTAAAAATGTTTTTCTTAATGTATTATTTTAAAGTTATTTTTAATTCAACAGATTTATTAAATAGCTCTATGTTTCTTTCATTAAGTAGATTATAGAAATGTTGTTTTTGTAATACCAAAATGAAAGTGGAATGAAAAAACAAACTGAAGCTACTGCTATTCTTAATACTGAATGGTATATAGCATTCTTAAGAAACAAAGATTATTCACGGCCTTTACGTACCAGCAGAGCTCCACGGAGGTTAATGCCAGTCTCTATGGTTACATAGTAGGAAGCCTGCAAAAATGTCCTTTGCAAAATAAGAGCCAAGAAGAGAAGAACTGCTAGAACATAAGCGTTTTCAAGAAATTCCTTTGATGAGAGGGTATCTGAATTCTTGTCCCAAAAGAAAAAAAGTGACAAATTAAAACTCATCTTTTGATAGACCAGGTGTTCAGTTTGCATTTGTTAAAATATGCATAGTACTTAAATATAAAAACTCAATGTATTTAGAATACAGCAGTGAAATGAGCTACAGAAAGGCAATTTTGGCTTATATAAACATAAACCAGGTAAACCCATAAAATCCCCAACTGATTAATGAGTGATGGAAATGCCTAATTGAAGAAAAAAAAAGGTAAAATTTATTTTTAAAAGATTAGAGTGCATTTCCTGCAAAAGTATACCATCCCTTATTAAAACAGAAAGCAATAAATAAAAAAACAAGTTAGTTTACCCTCTAATTTGAAAGTAGAAGCTATAAAATTGATAGCTGGTCAGCACGACCAATGGGACAAAAAATACAATTTTGGTAGCCTTATTAGTTTAAAATAATTCTTCCCAGTTGACTTTTTCTGATTTCCTATATCTTAATTTATACTAATAAAATAATAAATTATAAAATAGGTAATTTGGCTATATCACCCATGCAATACTTCCAGTAACAAAACATGACTTACACAATTTTTAGTAGGAACATGACTGAATTCAGCATAACAATATCCAAAATTGATTTTGTTTGTAACAATAGCATATGGTAGCTTGTTTGTTAGAAAAGAAGAAAAGAACATTTGACTAGGTACATTATGTCAATTTGGACATTCTTTATTTTCTATGATTCAGACCTAGTAGAATTCTACTTCCGGTCCCTTCCTCTTCTTTGTGGGAATATATACAAATGTGCAAGTCCTATTTGTTCTCAGCAAAACATATGGCTTACCTGTCTGAAAGAGAAGGGTAATGGATAAACTCTATGTGAAATTTAGGTATCTGTATGTAATTAGGCTAGCAGGGACAAAACATTACCAAAGTGTATTCAATGGTGAAAATATCTGTTTATTTCAATTATAATTGAACACTAATGTGTACAAGAATCTGGGCTAAGCATTGTGAACACAAATATGAATGGCTCACCATAATTGTTTCACAAGCTTACAACTAGGAAGATAAGCATATCTCTAAGTAATAGGCTTCAGTAAGTGCCAACATAAAGTAAAGAGTGTGTTAAGGGACTCTCAAGGACAGTCAAATTTCAACTAGGATGATCAGAAAAAGCTTCACTGAAGAGGCAATATTTAACTTCAGCTCTCAAACTGCATAACACTTTAATAGGTGATAGAAAGAGGACAGGAAATCAGATTGAGAGAATAGAAAATGAAAATGGATTCATCTGGAAATAGTTTCTACCTGTGGAACCAGGGCAATTAATACTTACCTTAGAAAGAAACTAGGAAGTTTACAATGTAGTCTTTATTAAAAATAGAAAATAAAAGATTATGTATTTATAATAGTAAATATATAGTATTTTATACTATATAGCCCCAATATACTCACATAATAACCAATAAAATTTAATAATGTTACTTGCCCTGATCATTGTGAAGCAGGGTGATGGTTTTCATTATATAAGAAAAGAGAAATGTACAATATTACAAATCACATTGCTAGTATTATTGGTCACATGCCTCTAAAAAAGTGACTCAGCCACCCCTCATACATAAAAATTATTTAAAGGACTGCAATAAACATTAAATCAAACAATCAATGTATAATTTCTACACAAACTTTCTGGCACACAGTAAATGCTTGTTGAACGTTATAGGCTCTGAATCTGAGGAATAATTTTGTTGGCCAGATTCATTCAATGAACACATAAACACGTGATTTTTTTTTTCCAAAAGGAAAATTACTGTTTTCTTTCTTTTAAAAAAACACTCAACTATCTGAAAAAATAAAAGCCTATTTGAACACTCATAAAACTGCATTAATAAAAAGTGACAATTACAATGAAATCTGCCAATAATATGTTTCCTTTGAAAAGCACCAGGAACTTACTCCAGTTGTGTTACTTGTCCCATTCTGGGTTTCATTCACACGCTGAACTATTCCAGAAATACAAAGAGGTCCAGCAAAACCCAGTAAGTCAGCCAGATAGCGGAATGTGCTACTAAGCAGAATTGGTCGCCCAAAAGCTCTGTACATTGCAAGCCATATAGATGGAGTTCTATTTGGATGATCTGCAACTTTTTTCTGGGGGAAAAAAAACCAGAAACAAACCAAAAAACTGTTGGAACAAAATAAAACTGCTTGGAAATTCCTTCCTACAGTTCTGAAAATATTTTAAGGGTTTAAAAATAGATGTTAATGAGTGCCTTTCAACATAGTATCCATAATTCTGTATCCTTGCCTTCTATGCAAATAGTAGCTAATATATGCATTTTAATGAAATAGAATGAGAAGTAAACAGGACAATTTTTCAAAGACACTATACTTTTTTTTAAATCAAAGGATGACACAAGATTTTTAAAGCATAATTCAGTTTTAATTTTCTTTGATTTGGAAAATGTATATTTGTCATGAAAATTGCCAAATAACATTGCATAGCAAGCAAAAGAGTAAAGCATAAAGATCAAGGTTATAGGCACACTGGCCAAGATTTTTGGAGTTACTAGATTGCAACAGGTTTGCCTGTCCAATGATTACAAACTAAACAAAACAGATTATTCCAACTTCAAGTTTTTTCTCCTCCTTGGTGTTTCTTATCTCCATGGTTGGTAGTCAGTACTTTAAAAAATTATGGTAGACTTGTGTTTCCTAGGTATTCCTCAAATAAATGCAAAATGAAGAACAGCATTTATTCTTAAGTCAAGTCATGGCTTCACACAGCTACAGTTGTTTGTTGTAAAGATTTTAAGACCTAAGCAATCATCATAATTAAAACTTAGGCAAGAGGTAGATAAAGTTTTTTCATTGTGACAAGGAAGTCAACTCACTGGCACAATAGAGCTCAATTATGTTCCCTATGGAACCCCTGTTAAAATAAATAATTTGTTTTCCAAAGTTTATGTAGACATTAACACATCAAGTTTGAGATAATCTCCTGTCATAAAGAGAACTCAGAAAAATGAAGCTATGCTTAGGCTTAGACTGCAAACATCTTTACTTTAGCAGTTTTAAAAATTTTATGCAATAGTTTTCCCAGAGGTGAAACCAGAGAAATGACTAAGGTTCATTTTAGTAACCTTTTCTTGCCATTTAATTTCATAACACGTATTTCTGACACAAAACAGATTATTTTCGTCATTTACCATAAATGCTTTGTTGATTTTGATTTAGAACAGCCAAAACTCGTTAGCTGTTTTATCATACTCTATTTCCTTCCAGTATTGTTGGGAATCCTAATATTTTAAATGGCAATGGTACTTGTAGATTATTGCAACAGAAAACACATCTACCATTGTGGGTAGCATGACTATTTAGAATGATAAAACATAAAATGAAAATATCCAAAGACTCTCATCTTGAAATTTTTTAAAACAATAATGAATACTTAGGGAAAGTGCCAGAGGAAACCAAGTTTGGTAGCAATATAGAATGATACATGGAATAGGCGGACAATGTCCTTTTATTTAATTTAGTCTCCCATTTTGAACTATAGAAGCTAAATTTTAGTCAATAATTAATACAAGGCTTTAAATTTCTTAAAATTGATTATTAGTAGGTATCTATTTTACCTCTTTATATAACAAAATTTTTATGCTTGTAAAAAGACAATAACAAAAATTTAATGAGTTATTAATATTATATGGTAATGGATTAGTATATATGAACATTGAACTTAATTCTTACTTTCCACTTGGTGACATATCCCAGAGAAAAGGCCGTACTCACGCTATCCTTCCTCATCTATTAATGGGGCAACTAATATAAGTATACTTCATTGGCTCTTCCAATATTCCAGGTCCGATTAACATGATTTAAAACTACAGAGCAAGAAAGATGAAGGAAACCCGCTCTTCCTTAACTATAGATATGTTAACTATAAGCTTTGTGTCTTTATATTTAATAGGAACATTCTCTGTTATTAAGCACATGGAAGACAGATACTAAATTACCTTTTGTTCTTCATATGCATCTTTCAGGCAAACATAATTTGTTACTGCTCTCATTGCTATTGGCAATTTTCCAATTGCCTTCAGATCAATAGGCTTTTTATGAGCAGATATAATAAGTGTGTTCATCCACCAGTATGTTGCTTTTGACAGCAAATTCACAAATGGTTGAAGAAATCTCACTCCCAGATCCTGGAGGTCTTCAGGAGGCTTTACCTTCTGAGGATTCATGAAGAATACATATCTCTGTGGCAAGAAAAATTCCACAGCGTGACAATTAGTTCAGTTATTTTCCACATATTACAAATAAAATTTCAACCTTTTCTACATTTTCCTATCAGGTGACTAAAATGTATACTTCAATGACTCTTCCCATCCCTTTATGAAATATTCTTTGAGATATTTTCTTCTGTTGTGACTAGATTTGTTCTGTTTTGGCTAGTTAATGCCAGAATTTTGCATTTAATTTTCTTGGGGTCAATTCTAAAAGATCAGTTAACCTTTCAAATATAGTTTTTATTAAGAGTCAATGTTTCATGACATCCTATGATAGGGTCAACCAAATGAGGGCTTTTACATTGTTTAGATTTTATAATGTGTTATCAAGACCATTATTGAGTCACTATTGATCTGTGGTTTGCTGATGTTAACTGACTAGTCTCTGCATTAATTGCAGCATGTATCTTTCTACTCACAGATCAAGTTCAAAGTTCTCTGATAAAAAATGAATACTGGAAAATCTACCTCTGGTATCTCACACAACATAATGGACAGCAATAAGTGGTGGAAAGTACAATCAATTTGCAATTACAAACCAGGTACGGGTCTTGACCATACTACTTTGGATATATAGCCAAAGCTATCTCTGTATGTTTCTTCATCAATGAAATGAGCAAACTGGATTATTTTCTTTTCAGTTTTAAATTCCTAATAATGCAATATTTTGCTTAACCTAGGTGTGCTTGAGACCAATTATGGATGAAGGAACATTCTCCTAAAAACAATTTCTTCTGTAATATAAACGGAGCACAATATCTGACACATAGCAGACACTCAATCAATCTCTATTTGTGAATGAAGAAATAGTTTCTAGAGTCACACTGAGATTTCTGAAACATTAATGGCCTGTATTTAGTGATTAGTTCAGCTTTATATATATAAATCAAATGCATTTGTTCATTCTCCTAAATACTAATTATTTCTGGCTAACGGTAATCTTTCATACTGGGGTCTTGAATCCAAGTAACTAAACAAAAACCATTAGCTGCCTACCCTGACTCGAATGACGTTGATCTCCACAGCCATCAAGAGCCCATTCAAGATGACCATCATGCCTGTGATGCAGAAACGCAGGTCTGATATGCCCAAACCAGACTGACAGTACTTAACCAATTTTATCGTTTTTGTAATAAAGGCCATTACCCAATACAGGAATAGGGCTGAAAAGAAAAAGATAAAAAGAGAAAGATACAATCTTTTCTTAAACTTCACTAGCACTTGAATATAATTATGATACTTTTTAATAACAAGAGCAATTTTATGTACTGTATTTCCACATGGTTTTACTTGGTAAGAAAACAACATATATGATTTAATGTACTTCTGGAGTTTTGAATTGAAGGAGTAATAACTTAAAAATGTTGAGTGCTTCCACTCTGCCCATATATGATAGATAGGATGTAAGGAGATACATAATAGGATAATCTGGACTCTTCAAAATGTATGTCTAGGTCTATAAATTTTAAAAAGTGGCTTTATCTTCTGGTCTTGTTTCCAAAGAGCCTTGATGATATGAATAATTCACAAGTTATTATCTGTATAACCTACTTCATAGGTATATTGCAAACCCAAGGATATGTCTCATGGTATTACCCTGGAATTATCATGGAATTCATGTATCTCTGTAATTGGGTTTCTGCCTTACAGATTCTTATTCAAGTTGTAGGTGACTTTCCTTAGCCAAATGGTTTAAAACACCACGCCCATTCACACAGCACAAAGAACAATGATCAGGCAGGGTGACTGACACTTCAAGTACTTGGGCCAGAAAGGTGAGGATTACACTGCCTTCGAACCACAACCAGCATTTTGCAGCAAATATGAGATAGAAGCATTGACTTTCTTAGAAATATTTTGGCAAGTATACAATCTACTTTTAACTTTGAATAAATGTCAGTACAAATAAATATGGTCTAAGAAGAAATCTAAGACACACGTAAGGCAATCCAGCTTGGACCACATTTGTCAGAAAAGTTGAGTGATCACTTCATTAGTAAAAAATAACTGAACATTGGCATATGAACTCAACATAGTTCTTGTTTTAGCTTAAATATATAGTCAGAATGGATTTATTTTAAAAAGACCAAATTATATGCTATCTAAAGAGAGTCACCTTAAGTATTAGAAACAGTAGATTAAAAATAAGTAGATTGAAAATATATACATGAAAACAAGCATAAGAAATTTGGAGTGGCTATATTAATATCAAACATAGCAAACTTTAAGACAATTATTACCAGGAATAAAAAGACTTTTAATGAGTCCATTTTGTAGAAAAATACAATAAAAATATGCATATGCCCAATGAAGATTTAGAAGATATATTAGAACACTATCAAACACCTCGTTTGATATTTATAAAACTATTTGAGATTTGGTACTCTAAAATTACATCTAACATCTTCAGATTTTACCTTCTTATTAACTGCATATGGTACTCATATAGACTATATGTTTAGTCAAAAAATGAAGAGCAAAGAATTTGAAATAACAGAAATCATATAGAGTAGATTTTCTGACCACAATAAAACTAAATTTAAAAATCAGATTTTCTATTGCTACTTAACAAACTATAACAAACTGAGTAGGTTAAAACTGCACACACTTATTATCTCGCGGTGTCTAGGATTCAGGACTTTGAGCCAGGGTCAACTGGGTTCCCTATTCCAGGTTCTAGGTTTTGACTGGGACTGCTGGCTCAACACAGGCTCTACTGATTTAAGACCTTCCTCCATGCCATACTCTATTGGCTTAGAACCTAGGCACAGGTCCTACTCACACTCAAGGCAAGACGGTAATAAAGGGCATGAACATCAGGCACAGAGATAATGGAAGTAACTTTTGATCTTTTCATGCAGTAAGATGTCTAAAAGCTTCTAAATATTTGGAAATTAAACAATAGTTACTAATAATCCACATGTTAAAGAAGAAATCACTAAAGAAGTCAGATAATATTAAAATATATCAACTATATTATAATAAACATATTACATATTTAAAATTCAAGAAGTACAACTAAAATAACTCAGAGGAAAATTTATAGCTTTAAATATTTATTTTACAATATAAGGTTCAAAACTCCATAGTCATCTTAAAAGCTCAGGAAAGAAAAAAAAAAGGCCAAAAAAAGAATGAAAACAATATAGCAGAAAGCAATAAAATAGAAAAATGAACAATTGATAAAATGAACAAACTCAATAATGCCATTCTTGGAAAAAACTAATAAAATTGATAAGCTAGACAGTTCAAGAAAACAAGAACGCAAAAAACAATATTAGGAATGAAAGAGGCACTATCCTTACATACCCTACATACTTTAAAAGGAGAATCAGAAATATCATGAATAACATTATGACAATGTATCAAAAAACTTACATGAAATGGAAAATTACTTAAAAACGTAACTTATCAAAACGAACATAAAAAGAAATACTCTGAAAAGTCTATATAGTCACTAAGGAAATTAGATGATATATTAACTAAATTATAAAATTTAGATTTAAATTTTATTGGATATAACACTGTCTAATACAGAAATAAACTCATAATTTTAAATCCTCCCTTAGTCCAAATTCCAGGTCCCTATGACTTCACTAGTGATTTTTATTCAACATTTAGGAAAGAGATAAAATTAACCTTACACAAAGTCTTTCAGAAAATAGAGAGAAAACATTTTCCAATTCATTTTATGGAGGCTGTTTAATACAGAATGTATAAGCCTGAAAAAGATATTACAAGAAAATAACAGATACATATCCTTCACTACATAGATGTAAAACTCCTTCACAAATAAAATCTAGTGATATCAAGCATGCATAATATATTATGACTATGTGTGGTTCATCCCCGAAATGCATTGAGACTTTATTTGAAAAATAGATCAATGCAATTTAGTACACTAACAGAAATGCAATTTTCCTAATGGATACAGGAAAAACCTTTAAGAAAATTCAACACACATTCAAGACTTTAAACACCCTGAGTAAGTTTTAAATAAAAGAAAGCTTACTGGACAAATAAAGGTTCACTATGAAAAACATATAACTAACATTACAATTAATTATGAAAGACTGATCATTTTCTCCCTAAAATCAGGAACCAGACAGGATTTCAGTCCTATGCCTATTTGGCATTTTATTGGACATCCTAGCTACAGCAATATGACAAGAAAAAAGAATAAAAGAAAAAAGAAAGCATAAAAAAGGTTGAAAAAAACTGTCTCTATTTGCAGATGGCATGTTTGTTTATATAGAAAATCTTAAGTAACCTAAAAAGCAATAACTAAAAGTAATAAGTGAGTTTCTAAGGCTGAAAAATACAAAAAAATGAAAAGCCCTTTCTCTAAGATCAAAAACACAATAAGAATGCCCAGTTTCACCACTGCTATTAAATATAGTACTGGAAGTCCTGGCTAGAGCAGTCAGATAATATGAAATAAAGAATATCCAAATTGGAAATGAAGAGGTAAAATTTCTTGTTTGCAGATGATAGCCAAGACCATCCTAAGCAAAAAGAACAAAGCTGGAGGCATCGCACTACCTGATTTCAAACTATACTACAATGCTACAGTAATCAAAACAGCATGGTACTGGTACCAAAATAGAGATACACAGCAGTGCAACAGAACAGAGGCATTGGAGGCAATGCCACACATCTACAACCATCTGATCTTTGACAAACCTGTCAAAAACAAGCAATGGGGAAAGGATTCCCTGTTTAATAACTGATGTTGGGAAAACTGGCTAGCAGTGTGCAGAAAGCAGAAACTGGACCCCTTCCTGACACCCTACACTAAAATTAACTTCAGGTGGATTTGGGACTTAAACATAAGACTTATCACCATAAAAACCCTAGAAGAAAACCTAGGCAAAACCATTCAGGACATAGGCACAGGCAAGGACATCACGACTAAAACACCAAAAGCATTGACAACAAAAGCCAAAATAGACAAATGGGATCTAATTAAACTCCAGAGCTTCTGCAGAGCAAAAGAAACAATCATTAGAGTGAACCTTCAACCAACAGAATGGGAAAAATTTTTTTCAACCTACCCATCTGACAAAGGGCTAATATCCAAAATCTACAAAGAGCTAAAGCAGATTTACAAGAAAAAAACAAACAAACCTATCCAAAAGTGGGAGAAGGATATGAACAGACAGTTTTCAAAGGAAGAAATATATGAAGCCAACAAACATATGAAAAAATTTTCATCATCACTGATTATTAGAGAAATGCAAATCAAAACCACATTGAGATACCATCTCACACCAGTTAGAATGGTGATCATTAAAAAATCTGGAGACAACAGATGCTGGAGAGGATGTGGAGAAACAGGAACACTTTTACACTGTTGGTGGGAGTGTAAACTAGTTCAACCATTGTGGAAGACAGTGTGGCACTTCCTCAAGGACCTAGAAAGAGAAACGCAACTTGACCCAGCAATCCCATTACTGCATATATACCCAAAGAATCATAAAGACACATGCACATGTATATTCATAGCAGCACTGTTTACAATAGCAAAGACCTGGAACCAACCCAAATGCCCATCGATGATAGACTGGACAAGGAAAATGTGGCACATATACACCATGGAATACTATGCAGCCATAAAAAACGATGAGTTCATGTTCTTTATAGGGACATGGATGGATTTGGAAACCATCATTCTCAGCAAACTGACACAAGAACAGGAAATCAAACACCACATGTTCTCACTCATAGGTGGGTGTTGAACAATGAGAACACATGGACACAGGGAGGGGAGCATCACACACTGGGATCTGTTGGGGGGGCCAAGGGAGGGGCAGTGGGCGGGGGGTGCGGGGTGGTGGGGGTGGGGAAGGGATAACATGAGGAGAAATGCCAGATGTAGGTGATGGGGGGATGGAGGGAGCAAACCACATTGCCATGTGTGTACCTATGCAACAATCCTGCATGATCTACACATGTATCCCAGAACCTAAAGTACAATTAAAAAAAAAAAAAAAAAAAAACCGAAAGAACTAGAATAGCCCAAGCAAGCTTCAGAGAAAAACAAAGAAAATGTTGTATGACTTATAATTTATGACTTCAAGAACTCCAAAGCAAGAGAAAATGTTAGTGGCATAAAAATCTATTAATACATCAAAGAAACAGAAAATAGAGCCAAAACATACATTAAATTTAGTCACATGGTTTAATTTTTTTACAGAAGTACCAATGCAATCTCATGAGAAATGGAAATTCTATCCCACAAATGGTGCTGGAACACACTGATACCCACTTGGGAAAAAAAAGAACTTTGACACCTACCTTACACCATATACACAATTACTTTAAAATGAATCACTGTCCTAAAGCAAACAGGAGAATAGGAGGGAAGCTTATTTAGAGGGAACACAAAGATATCTTAAGACAGAAAGCAGTAACTAAAGACTAAAAGAAATGATAAATTATACTACATCAAAATTAAAAATCTTCTACTCATTAAAAGATCCTATTAAATAAATGAACATGTATGCCACAGACCAGAAAGAAAACATTCTCTAAACATGTAACTGATGACGTACTAGTATCTAGTATGTGCAAAATATTCCTTCAACTCAAGAGTAAAAGTGCAGCCCAATAAAACATGGGCAAAAGATATGAACAGCCACTCCCCAAAGATAAAAAATGGCCAATAAACTCATCAAAAAGTGTTCAACATCATTAGTCATCAGAGAAATGCAAATTAAAACCACAATGTATTACCAGTCCACACCCACTAGCATGACTAAATTAGAAAGACCAAGATCACCAAATGATGAACATGTGGAAATGGAACTCCTACACCTTGCTAGGGAGTATAAAAAATGACACAACCATTTTGGGAAAAGATGTCAGTTTCTTAAAATATGAACATTTACCCACTTATCCTATGACTCAGCGATTTCACTCTTAGGTATTTACCTAAGAGAAACAAATACATATAGCCACAAAATACTTGTTAAGAATGTTGATAGCAGCTTTTCTTCTCATGATAGTTAAAACCTGGAAATAGTACAGGTGTCTATTAACAAGAGATTGAAAAAACTACAATATAGTTATACAATGAAATACAATTAGAAGAACAAAATATTTATCTATGCTACATCATGAATGAGCATCAAAAAAAATCATGCTTAGAAAAAAAATCCTTACTTAAAAGTCTATACTGTCTTATTCAATTTACATCAAGTTCTGGAACAGGCAAACCTAATTCATGGTGGGGGTAAAAATCAGGACAGTAAAGTTGACATTGGGTATAAGAAAATTTGCATGGTCGAGTGAGGTGTCTTACGCCTGTAATCCCAGCACTTTGGGAGCCTGAGGTGGACGGATCATGAGATCAGGAGTTCAAAACCAGCCTGGCCAACATGGTGAAACCCCAACTCTACTAAAAATACAAAGAAAATTACCCTGGCATGGTGGTGCGTGCCTGTAATCTCAGTTACTGGGGAGGCTGAGACAGGAGAATTGCTTCAACCCAAGAGTTGGAGGCTGTAGTGAGCTGAGATTGCACCCTGCACTCCAGCCTGGGTGACAGAGCAAGACTATGTCTCAGAAAAAAAAGGAAAATTTGCATGGATGATAGTTATGTCATGATAGGATTATACAGGTACATTAGCAAATTAAAATCTCTGTGTTTCATGTAAATAAGTTTTATCTTACAAAAAGAACTGCAAATTTAATGGTATCCGTGAAGTGTTCACAGGTAAAGCATATTAACATCTACAACTTACCTAAAATGCATCAAAACTAAGATGGAGAGAGGTTTGTATAGAAGGATGAAAACATGTAGATATGTGATAAACCAAAGAGAACAAATGTAAATTGAAGAATTTAGGCATTGGGTAGGTGGGAATTCGCATGATTCTTTCAACTTTCTGTACATTTGGTGATTTTCATAATGAAATGTTGATACAGAATTACTAGCATTGTGGTCTTAAAATGAGTAACTTTTCTAGGTCCAAATTTTTCTCTGCTAAAATAACAAGAAAGATTATCTTTTATCTCCATGTCCTTCCACCAATATGATCAAATTGTGCTGTCTTGCACCTACATAACAATAATAGGACGCTTTGATTGTGTAAAAAAAAAAAAAAAAATAAAACCTGCATTACTTTCTAGTTGTATCTTATAACTTTTTATCACCATCAACTTTTCAAAAATGTATATTTAGCTTATTAAATTCAAGTAAAAAATTTTTTGCAGCTACCTGTTGGAAATTTCTTTCTTTTTTTTTTTTTTTGGCATCTTCAGACCTCTGATAATAGATAATTAATGGGAGGCAGACATTAAGATAATTAAAAACTTGACAGCATTTTAAATTAATATTTAACCCTCTCTACCTTTTTTATTAGATTGCCTTTAATAATCATATAATGTGACACAGCATGGAATTAAATAATCTGTATTTTTCATGCATCCATTTTAAATTTTAGTGTCCCCTGGACAAATGCATAAAACACTGTGTGTGTGTTTTTGTTGTTTCTTCTCCTAATTTCTATATCATTAGTCAACATCATTACGTAACAATCAAATAGCATTAGAAACAGTAAGCATCATTCACACAAACACACAGTTTGGACTGCAATTTCAGGAGGTTCATAGCTCATCCATGATCCATGTTCTATACCTTTATCTCTTTAAGAAAGAAAGTATACGCCAAAGAATACGGTGACGGGTCAGAGTATTGAACATAACTAATGTAGATGGGTTATATAATTTTGACCCAAGGCAAAAATAAAATTAGGAATATTTTAGATAGTCTCTGATTTCCACAGAACAAGGAGGCAAGAGAGGAAAAACAATTTTAGTCACAATGCAGGTATGAAAGGCTGTGCTTTAAAGGCAGCTGCTTCTCAGGACAGCATACTTTTAATTACGCTATGAAAAATACTCTGCTACATAGTAATTCTAGGAAAATATGGCATCCCCACAGCATCACTGAAAGGCTTGAACCTTGGGAAAATGTCTTTGGACTTCAAGCCAGAGGCAGAAACAGCTGGAACTAGAGGAGATGACTTGTTCATGGGGCAGCATGGTGCAGCAGCTCCTTGTAAGAGCTCTGATTCTTAAAAAATACAACTTCTGCAAGTCAGAAGGCCAGCACATCCCCCCACTTTTTTCTCCCCTTACACAGAGACACACCACAAAGAGTATTTATTGCAGAAGAGATGGCCTTTGGGTATGGAATTTTCATAGCCTAGAGTAACTAAGCTGGGATTACAGGCTCCCACTGTCATGCCCGGTTAATTTTTTGTATTTTTTTTTTTTTTTCAGTAGAGATGGGGTTTCACCATGTTGGCCAGGCTGGTTTCAAACTCCTGACATCAGGTGATCTGCCCACCTCAGCCTCCCAAACTGCTGGGACTATAGGCGTCAGCACTGTGCCTGGCCAGTTTTCCCATACTTTCTACTCCCCACACACTCTGATAGTATTTACCTTGAGGAAAAAGAAAAACAAACTACTTTCTAGGGGGAAAAAACAAATAACTCTTTAGGGAGAAACAACAAAAGTGATCATACTTACCTAAAAGTAACTTAGGAAAATTTGATGTTTCAATATTGTGATAATATACTATTGATGTTGTAGTGGCAACAAATCCCATCACAGCTGGCATGAAGAGGTGGAGGTGCCTCGATTCTCGCCGTCTACAAAGAGTAGTACAACGTTAATGTTTAAAGTTGATGGTTCCAGATAATTTCTCATTTTTTTCCAATTTTTTCATAAGAACTTTCTCTTAGCAATAAGATGTTTAAAATACAGAATGCAGTTGTAGTTTCCAAGTGAATACGTAAGAATATATTGAAAGACATAGTTATGCGGAAAAGATTTATCTTAACATGAAGGGCTGAATAAACAAGCAAACTATACCTTAAAGTGTTTGCAACTAAAACAAATATATAACTACTCCTATACTGTAGGGCAGAGCCGCTGAAATCATTTAACAACTAAAGCAAGTAAAAACAGTTAACTCAATCTGAACTCCAATGTGTGTGAGTGTGTTTTTTCCTTTCAACTTGACAGTCTTCAGTGATTTCTCCATTCTCGTTAATTCGTTCCATGCATCTGTGATTGCTGGTCCAGATACTGTATTAGGTTCTTGGATGCAGAAATGAACAAAACAAAATATAACATCTGTAGTCAAAAAATGTGGTATATTGGGGATATCAATAGTGAATAGAAAATTACAGCATAGCTGAAGGGACAGTGAGAGAACACAGAGTGCATGTCTGGGACAGAGAAAGCTTTGAAAAGGAAGTGACTTCCAAACTGACACTTTAAGAATGAGGAATGGCTACTCAGAAGAAGAGAGGAAGACATCGCCAGGCAGTGGGGCCAATGTGTTCAAGGATATTATAAGCAATTCAGCATGCCTGCAAGGAGAACAGGCTTCCCTCTGAAGGTAACAGGATATCCAGGTGAATCGGTGATCCCACAGCAGATGTGCATGGTGGTCGCCCTCAACCCCATTGGCAGTGATAATGTCATAGAGTGAAACATTTTGCTTTCCTCAAATTACCTGAAGATACTTGAAGTACATAAATGGTATAGAAAAGACAGCAACTAGTTCAAGAATGGGGGAAGGGAGAACATTCAAGAAAGTCTTTCCAAAAGAGGTATGGTTGACAACGGGAACTGAAATATCAAAAGGAATCCGCTGGTCAGGAAAAGGGGCATTTTAAAAAAGGAACAGAATGTGCAAATACATAAAAGCATGAAACAACACAACATGTTCAAAATTTCAAGTAGTTTAATAGTCTTAAAACAGAAAGTTTAAGATAGAATGTATCATGGAAGGCTTTTTATGCTGTGGTAAGAGGCTGGCATCTCAACCCATGGAAAACTGAAACATTTTAATAGGTAAGTGGTGTGGTCAGAGATGTTTTATGTGGATAAGGAAGTTGGTAGGTAGTACATGAGTTTGCAGTGGAGGGAGAGAAATGGAAGGAAGGAAAGCAGTTAGGGAAATATGAGTATAAAGTCAGGTGACCGATGATAAAGGTCTGACTTCAGCTTTGGCAGCAGCAGTAATATGGAAGAAACAATACATTTGGAAAAGATTGATTGCTAAAATGGACAGGAGTTTGCCAGCATTAGGGTATGAGGGTGATGGCAATAGAGAGGTAGAAGATAATTCCTAGGGTGTCTGTGTGGTTGGTTGTGTGACCAAGTAAGAAAGAATGAGAGAAAGAAAGAGAGAGAGAGAGAAAGAAAGAAAGAGAGAAACAAACAAAGAAAAATGGAAAGAGACAAAGAAAGAGAGAAAGAAAGAAAGAGAAAGCAAGGAAGGAAGGAAGGAAACCACAATTTACTTACTAATACTATTTAGGAAATTTTTAAATGAGCACACTTCCTATCCAATCCTTTAGAATGTGGTCACAACCCTACTCACAAAAATAAACAAGTTTGATAAGAAATAATTATAATAAAATAAAAAGTCAATTTAAGATTTTAGAGAAAGAATGACAAACCATTTTTATAATGGTTTGCAGTGTGGGAATGGAAAGCAATAACAAAGAATTAATAAAGATAATATCAGCTACAACAAAGTTTTGTACTTACTGTGGCACTCCTTTACTAGGAATTTAACATGTCTTTGAACCAGGCTAGCATTTTTATAAGGTTGCTGTCATTTTGTTAGTTCTCTATTTATAAAGCTGCATAGGTTTTGAATGGTTCTCCAACCCTATTTTTTCCCTTAAGCTGTGTTCTTTTTAGGGTATGATTTGCAAATCTCAGTGGCTTGGTAGGAGTGCATTATGTCCCATTTATCTTTAGATAATCTTTAGTCGGAACGTTGGAAAGAAATTTTTAAAGTATTATATTGTGAAGGTTAAAGAAATCATTTCAAAAGAGAAAAATAATAAAAATAAAAATCTAAGGAAAACACAATAATAGACAAGATTTTAATACACTACTTTTAGAATTTGACAGATTAAATAGTATAAAACCAAGCAACATATAGAACTTCAGTAATACAATCAGTAAACTTAATAAAATTTTGTCTCCTACAAAGTATATATAATACTTTCTAATATTCATTACATATTTATAAATGATCAAGTATTTGACTATAATGAAAATGTTAACAGCAAAGAATAATCATTTTACAAACTACATGCTTTAATAATAAACCAATCAAATTAAGCAAAAGAGCAAACTGAAAAGGATTTCTAAGCCTAGGAGAGTATCTAAACTGGAATCACAGGTAGAAATAAAAAGGAGAACAAAAACCCACCCAGAACAGATAAGAATGTCCCAAAAGAAAAATTTATGCTTTAAATGTTTTATTACTAAAAAACAAGATCAAATATTCTATTAGGAAAGCCTTTGCATTGTTTTTGTAATTGTAATGAGTATTTGTCACATATTAAGTAAATAATTCATAAATATTTTATTTAAAAATAGAAAGATGGAATGATAGCAGTGTCAAAAGTAAAAATTATGACAAAGACAAAAGAGTGTCAATTAGGTGTGACTAATAATCACAGAGATTCTTATAGATGTAGTTTCCAGAATAAGATGGAGCAAGAAAAAAAAGCAAAACTAAATGTTTGGGTTTAGAAGTAACTAGAAGATGACTTTTCAAAAAGCCTGGTTAAAAATCATAAGGAGAAGTCTATACCTAAAGAGGAGAAGAGCATAGCACGGAATCGAGGGATTATTTTAGCCTGTTTTTAGGACCTCTTTTATTACCACCACTACAAACAAGTCTCTACTATTATGATATGTCATTATTATCATGGGTTCAGTCTGTCTGTGTTTTCTGAGGACCTGACTGAATCTACATCAACCAGAGAGTTCTCCTTGTCCACATGATGTCAAGTTTCAAAGAAATATAGGATCTTCTACTTTATACAGACACATAGAAACAGAGCAGCCTAAATGCTAAGGAAATGAAACACTTGAGCCTAGATTGGCTATGCTAGTATAAATATACCAGAACTTTAAACAGTTATCAATAAGATAATATCCAATTAAGTTTCTAAATTCCTGGAGGCATAGTATATATCAGAGTCTCTAATTTTTTTTATCAGAAATTAAGACATGCACATATCTGCAAAAAAAACCCTCATAAAACATTACAAAATAGTTGGTTCCATGACAAAAGCTTAGAAGTTTCATTCTTTGTTAATTCCAACAGAAAACATAAACAGATGTCAAGAAAGTTTCTGTTCGATAAGAAGAAAATAAATTTTGGACTTTCCTATCAAAAAATTTAAAGTCCTTCTTATATTAATTCCTCAATGAATGGTACACCATCTAGCATAGTTTAAGAATCAAAGTTTCCTATTCTTGAGTTTATCTTGTTACTATATAAAAAAATATTTTCACCACATAATGTTGAAGTTTATAAATATAATTCATTATATTTTAACTGCCTAATACAAGTATCATGTTTTACAAAAATAACAAAATTCCTTTAAAAATATGGGTTTTCAAAACTATAAAAACCCTGGAAGGCAACCTAGGCAATACTATTCAGGACATAGGTATGAGGAAAGATTTCATGACAAAGATGCCAAAAACAATTGCAACAAATTCAAAAATTGACAAATGGGATCTAACTAAAGAGTTCTTGCCCAGCAAAAGAAACTATCAACAGAGTAAAAAGACAACCTATAGAATGAAAGAAAATTTTTGCAAACTATGCATCCAACAAAGATCTAATATCCAGCATGTGTAAGGAATTTAAACAAATTTACAAGAAAAACAGCAACAACAACCCCATAAAAAAGTGGGCAAAGGATATGAACAGATACTTTTCAAAAGAAGACATACACATGGCCAACCATCATGTGAAAAAAAAGCTCAGCATCACTGATCATTAGAGAAATGCAAATAAAAACCACAATGAGATACCATCTCATACTAGTCGAATGGCTAGAATTAAGAAGTCAAAAAATAACAAATGTTGGTGAGGTTGTGAAGAAAATGGAATACTTATACACTGTTTGGAGTGTAAATTATTTTAGCCATTGTAGAAGACAGTGTAGTGATTTCTCAAAGACCAAAAACAGAAATATCATTTGACCCAGCAATTCTATTATTGGGTAATGGGATTATAAATCCTTCTCTTATAAAGACACATGCATGCATATTTCATTGAAGCACTATTCACAATAGCAAACACATGGAATCAACCTAAATATCCATCAATGATAGACTGGATAAAGAAAATGTGGTACATATACTCCGTGTAATACCATGTAGCCATAAAAAATGGCAAGATCATGTCCTTTGCGGGGACATGGATGGAGCTGGAGGCCATTATCCTTAGCAAACTAACACAGGAACAGAAAACCAAATATCACGTGTTCTCACTTATAAGTGGGAGTTAAATGATAATTGGAAACAACACACACTGGGGCTTTTTGGAGGGTGGAGAGCGGGAGGAGGGAGAGGATCAGAAAAACAACTAATGGGATCTAGGCTTAATATCTGGGTGATCTGTACAACAAACCTCCATGACACAAGTTTACCTGTATAATAAACACGCACTTGTACCTCTGAACTTAAAAGTTTAAAAAATGGGTTTTATTACAAATCTTCATTTTAAAAGTTTTGCGCTTTGCCTCAATTTATGGCTTTATCCTCACTGATTCTTAGCCTCTTTAATCCTGCCTCATCTATCTTTGCTTCTTTACAACATAAATGGAAACATCTGAGAAATGATTAATATATTAATATAAGTATATGGCTATTAGAGCTATGTGTCAATGCAGACAATCTTTCCATTTATACCTATTTTTAACATTAAAAAGTTCAAAAACACATAAGAACTTCTTTCAAGAGCTACATGGATCAGAGATCAAAAACTATAAAGCATATCTAGGAGCTCAAGTTAAAAAGATGTGAACTTATGCAATCAGAAAAATAATGTAGCAACATAAAAATACAGACAAAACACATGACTATCAGACAAAATGAGTGACAGGCATCATTCCTAATGCCTCAAAAGTTAAGCCTGCCTTGGTAATGCTCTTAGCTACTATCCACAATATACCCACTGGTATATTGCAATGGTATTATTTTAGTTAGATCACTTACGAGTCTGAAACAATGCCTTCTGCTATTTCACAGACATGCACAAACAGGAGAGCAAATGTAAGAATCCATCTCAGGTTATGTCCAGGAAAATGAAGCCATGTGTTGTGGTGAATTTGTACTTTTGAGCTTTGGCTCCCCCATCCTGGAAAAAAAAGAGAGAAAAGTTTTTAAAAAAAAAAAAAGACATAAAGCAAAGGCTCAATTGTAATCATAAAAATAATTTAAATTATGATAAGCTTTAAGGGGGAGTCCGGAAACCTTAATACTTTCTAGAGTAGCAATGAAAATCCCAGTGTATTTTCATTATTTAAAAGAATTACAATTAACTTTTACAAGACTACCCAGGCTAACACATTAATATTTGTGGCATTACTCAGGAATGATACCAACTCTGGATGACAACATGGTTCTATCTCATGCTAATCAGAAGTTCTTCCTGACAGCTTTCCGATTGATTCAAAAGGAAATAAATTGATGATAATAATACAAGAAATTTGCTGTCAAAAAGCTTTGAAGACATGAAATCTACAGGTGACAAACCAAGAAAAGACATGTTTGGTTACAAAATACAGGACTCATTAGTTGAGTCAACTCTGAATCATATACACATCATATGAGAAAAATTGTTATGTACGACTGGGCTGGCATTGTTATTCAACAAGTGTTCCTGACACTTTTCTCAAAGGAAGCTAAAGTTCTCGATGATGAACTTTTAAGCAGGCTCAAAAACATCATAGGGGGTCCACCCTTAGCTTGCCAATGAAGAAAAAAATGCAAGATTATATGTTAGTAAAATTCTGATGGTTTCCTCCCCAAACTACTATACAGTTTAGTTACTATGTAGAATAACACAACTTCATACGTGGTATGCTAAGAGGCCCCACTTTTGTCTCTTTTTGTTTCCCTGTTTTCTCATTTTTTTGACTGTAGAAAAAAAGCCTCACCTACTTCAAGAACAAACAGGGGTTTGTGCTTGAAATATTGCAGGAAAGAATTTCTGTATAGGCAGCAGACTCTCCTTTTATTTGAAATGAGTATTGATTCATGTCTTAGTTGTTTTCAATTTACTTCGTCATTGGAAGGTTAGTTATATTTAATATATTCTACTAGAACTTATGCCATAAACTCCCATAGGCAAGTTCTATGTCTTTTTTGCAACATTATGATTTTCCTAGTACCTGATTGTTTTTGAGATTTATTTATGATCCCTCACTAATTCAAGTAGCCAATGTCATTAATGAATTTTTTTCTATTTCCCTTTAACAATGTCCCCTCCAATTCTATTCTATTCTAACACCCTGGTGCCGGCCTCCGTGCTGGATGCTAAGGATACAAAATGGAATGTCACTGTTCTTGCTCTTAAAAGGTTAACCAAGTGTTAATACTTGGGGAATTATTAACTGTGGAATTACAGTTTAAAAAACCAATTTTTCTACTGTTGGCCAAAGGACATTCTTCATGACCTACCAATAATACTACATAAACAACAAGTGATGTTTCTACATATGGCCACTCTGTTCTCAATATATTTAGCATCTGTACTTTTGTTTAACATAACTACGTACCAAGAGTTATGTTGGCCTGTGTATATACCATATGATGAGTTCTTTATCCCTGTTAGAACAATGCCAAGCACATAGTATCCTCTCAATTAATATTGTTAAATAAATAAATAAAAGCAGATGAATAATTTTCAAACATTCCCTTAAAGCAGATAATTTAAAAATGCCATTTTCTTAAGAAAATGCATCTGAAAACTTTTTTTTAATTTATTTAATTGGAAAAATATAATGCATGAAAAAATTAAACACAACTCAAAATAGTGGCTGCCTCCTGTGAAAAGACAGGAATGTAGGAAATGGAGAGTAGCAGGACCAGGAAATGGTGTGCAGAGAAGTCCTTTCACTCATTGCTATATTCTTTAGATGAGTGGTGGTAGGCTCAGTGGATGTTTATTATATTAATCTCCATCATTTTATATATCAAAATACTTCATAATTTTAACGAAGTTGAAGTGTCTGTTTGGGCAAGTTATACAAATTATTCACAATTGCCCTTAATTGTCAGATTTTATACATATATAAACTATAAAATAATAGAGGAAACTGTATTATTAACTTCTTCCCAAATAGTTTGTGAATGTCCTCTTGCTACAAAAAACACCATCCCATCACTCCCACTCTAACTTGCATGCTCGGCAGCTTTCAATCCCTCAAACACGTCACTCACTATTTTCCCCACCAGCTCCAAAGAGTGAGTTGTTTCAGCAGGTTAATGTGTTCCTGTATCAGTGGCATAGTCATTTCTTGTGACTTTAACACATCTGCCCCACTGGACTATTCCCTGAAGGCAAGAACTCTTGTATTCATTTTCCATTCCCTTTACCTAGCCCAAAGTAAGTGCTCAACTAATGCTGTAGATCTATCTCATATATTTCTCTCTTTCCTTCATTTTAAAAAACCACTGCTGTTACCTGAAGCCCAATCCTAGGTAAGCACATGACCTCAATTTCACCTATGGAAGATCACCTGTCAAAAATACATGGTTGAAAAACACAAAATACTTGCTTGTTCATTTCTCACAGGTATCAACTTCCTTGTTAGAGAAATTAAGTCAACATGACCCCAAACCTCAGCCATTAATGAGATATATAAACATTAAGTCGTATAACATAGGGCATTAGATTACTTACCAATAAACAATATTGGAAAAGTGATAAACAACAAAAAGACATGAGGGACCAAGTTGAGGGCATCCACAAAGCAGGAATTTTGTAACACACCGTCATTGATATTATATGAAGTAATGTTGTTACCACAAAATGAAAGGCTCATTTCTTCTTATATGGTTTACTCTAAAAGGGAGAGAAAGGAGAAAGAAAAACCCTTTTATTACTAAACGCTTGTTCATAAAATTATAGCCTTGAATAGGGGCTATATTATAAAATTAGTCCCCTTTATTTTGATAGCTGAGGAAATAAGAAACTCGATGTCAAAGTAACTTGAAGGTTTCTTGTAAAGGCTTTTATGTTCTATAAGATCTTCTTTTCCATAGCTTTTATTTCCAGAGAAAAATTCTTTAATGTGGAAAATGTATTATAATTAATATCTACCTTTAGTAGTACCTCAAACAAGTGTCTGACCAAAATGCTTTCAAGAACAAAATGGTGCCGGGCGTGGTGGCTCAAGCCTGTAATCCCAGCACTTTGGGAGGCCGAGGCGGGTGGATCACGAGGTCAAGAGATCGAGACCATCCTGGTCAACTCGGTGAAACCCCGTCTCTACTAAAACTACAAAAAATTAGCTGGGCATGGTGGTAATTACAGCGTGCCTGTAATCCCAGCTACTCAGGAGGCTGAGGCAGGAGAATTGCCTGAACCCAGGAGGCGGAGGTTGCGGTGAGCTGAGATCGCGCCATTGCACTCCAGCCTGGGTAACAAGAGCGAATCTCCGTCCCCCCAAAAAAAAAAAAAAGAACAAAATGGTCATATATTAAGAAAAAGGAGAAAAAAAATGAACCAATGACTAAAAAGTCAAAATGATATAATTTCAAATATTTTCTCACAGTCACTGAAAATGTAGTAATAAACAACTCAAGTTGTTCTGTAAATTGTGACAGAGTTGCTGAAACATCTCATTAGTTGTAGGAAATATTAACATTCAGAGGCCAGTGTGGCTGTTAACTGTAACTCTTTTTCTGAAAAATATTAAAAGTCAAATGTTCAAGATGAATTAAATCTAACTCAAATGAACTAGTCAAGGAAACTACTCAGATAGTTTGAAACTCAGTATGTCTTTTAATTGGAAATTGGTACTCCATGAATAGCAGTAGATGAGTTTAGAGTGGAAACAGAGGACAAGGTCACACAGTGCTTTGTAAGTCATTGTCTGGATTGTGGCTTCTACTCTTAGTGAAATGGGCCACTGGGGATTCCCAGGCAGAGGAGTGACATGCTCTCACTTATATGTTAATGGTTTTCTATTATTGCTGTCCTGAAACAGATGGGAGATGAGCAAAGGTCTGCTCCATCAAAATACAGCTGTGAAAATCCAGCAAAAGCTTTAACATTCTGAAAACTTATTTCATAATGCCTACTACTTACTTACTACCTACTAAATTCTGGGCACGTTGCATATCTTAAATCCTCAGAACAACCTTGTAATGCTAGTGGTGTTACTCATCTTTTACAGTGGAGGATACTGAGGTTTAGATAAGTTCAGTGACTTGCCATCAGCAGAGCAGCCAGGTCCACACCCAAATGTCTGACTTATAAACTATTTCTTTCCACTCTATCACGCAACCACCAACCTGCTTTTCAAAGAAAGTATTTTATCTATTTTTTAAAACAAGTAGCAGTTTAAGATTTTAACCTCACTAGACTTCACTTCTTTTCCATATTTACGTCACAGTGGATTCTGAGCTGCATTACTATAGCCTGGCAAAAATTTTATTAACTGACATAGTATCTTTTCTTTCCTTTCGTTGATAATTGATTTAGCAATGGTCACAAACAATACTTTTTCTAGGAGAAAAAGAGTGTTATACAGAAAAGATTGTCAATGGTAGGTAAATTATTAGAGAAATCAAATTTCAAGCAAAGGTATATAATTATACAAACAGCTCGGCTAAAGAGTCTGTGTATTTACAGTCTTAAATGCTTATACAGAATGCCTCTCACATGTTGTTCCTGATAAGCTCTTTTTATAATAAATCATTAGTAAGCTCCTAGTTGAGTCTTTCCCTCATATTTTTTAAAAAAAATTATATTTTTAAAACCTCAAGGTGAAGTTATACACTTGGTAAATTCTTACAAGCTATTAAGGTTTTAATCTGGATAAAAGAATAAAAAGGACTTGAAGTTTTTAAACAATGGCAAAATGGAAGTTATTAATTTATGGGTGTATGTTAGATATATTTCTGGCAAAGACAGACAAAAACAAAACTAAAAACTAATAGTAATGAAATTTTTTAGACTACTTCATTTAGTAGAAATGATAAAAGGAAACTGAAAGCCCATTCAGAATTGAAAAACTATATATAAACTTTCCTTGCGCAAACTAGAAAATAATTTTTATTTTAGCAACTTTTATAATCTTATTCAAAATTATAATATTCTAGTTGGCCATATTTATAAACTATTAATATTGCGGTAGATGCTAAAGTATAATCTGCTGCTTTGCAAATTACATCCTTCATTAGCTATAAGCATTGCTTGCCTGGTGTTTAATCAATCCTGAAATCTACCAATTAAATCGCCTTTAGATAAATGTGTGTAACTGTGGATTGAAGATCTCAGATAAATACAATCACCTGAAAAATTTAAGAATCTTTTCAGCTATATACTAGATACCTGGGAATCTATGCCATTAACTAATTAACGTTAAAAACACCTGATGCTTACCACGTGCTAGTTACTAGGAATCCAATTGGGCACATCAGAAACAGTGCCTGTGGTCTTAGACTATATAAATCATTTTATCTTAGTCTCAGTAGATCTGGGTATATTGTAAAGGTATATGATCTAAAAGATAGGAAAATAAACAATGATAAAATCATGCAAAAGTGTAAACTTCAAGTTGGAAAATAAATGCTTTAGAATGACTTTTCCTGTCTGCCATAAACTCTAACTTCACATTTCTGACTGGCTTGGAACCTGTCCGTTAGCTAACTACATGTCTCCTTTCATCTTTTCTTTTGACTCCTCCTTTATCCTTTCCTTTTAACCCACAGTCTTTATCCAACATCCTGAGTCCATGTCGGACATTCTAACAATCGGCCTCCATTACAACCCAACATGGACAAAAAGAGGGAGGCAGTAAACTTATTGCTGATATACTGATAATTATTGTGTTTATCAAAGGCACTTAATGAATCCACGTTTCTAACTCTGAAATTTTCAATTGTCATTTAATGTTTCCCTCCCAGACACCAGGTTCAATTGGGAATGTTCTGGGAAGGGTACAAATCGCTGTTCTTGCTGGCTAAACTATGTCACCTGACATCCTTCAGCTCCACCCCTTCTGGAGCTGTTTAGATTCAGCTAAGCACTAACAAAGGCCCAAGCATCAAGGAGGGAGAGAAAAGGGTAGGGTCGATGGGGAGATACAGTATTTTCCTTTCCACAAGCATAAGCCATCAAAACATGTTCAGGGGTTTATGAAAGTTGATAGAATTGGAGAACTTGACAGAATAAATTTTAAAAATAAAGATCAAAGTGAAATTTTGCTTCTAATGTATGTCCACAGAGCATATAAGATATGATGGAAATACTCCTAATTATCTACCTTATGATTTCATGGCAAGAATCACACTCTCAGTGTTCTTATTCCTTGAAATGCATTACATGAAATTCCACACATCTAGGGCATATACATTTTGGATTTGGTTGGTGAATATAATACTTGACCTATCCAGTCTATTGGTTCCTCTGTAAGAGAGGAACAGTAGTTATCTGATTTAATTCTAAAAACACATTAAAGTGTTGAGGCATATAAGGTACATCATTTATTTTGGCCAGCCCTGTCCTTTGGAAATAGACTATAAGTAAAGCAAGTGAAAACTTGCCTTCCTTCCTACTCACTTAGCAGAAAGCATTAGTTCTGATCAAACAGCAATTGCAGAGAGCTTAAAATGCTGGAAACACCTGGAGAAAGCATGCTAAACTTAAATAAAAGTTTTCATTCTTATATATAAAACGATTAATTCTTTAGTCATTTAGAGACCACATTATGTTATGAAAGAGAAATATGACATTTTAAAGAACTTAAGGCTTTATCATTATCTAGGGCATTTTCAGGATGGACATCAATTGCAAAAACAAATGCTGTGATCACCTCCTTAAAGTGATTCAGTCCATAGTTCATGAAATAAGAACCAGAAGACGGTAGCTAGCTACCATGGCTATACTTATGACCGATCCAAGTAGGAAAATCACTGGCAAAAAAGACCACTGACTTCTGACTTAGTGCCTGATCTGAATCCACCCATTTACTCTTCAGTGGCTGTGAGGTACAAACCCACACCAAAAGAAGTATTGGAATTACACAGTAGATATTCCTCAGACAGACACTGCAATGGGATTTGTTTTTTAATCCCAAACTGAACAAATAAGCAAAAAATAAATACCTTGGGCAATAGCTTCACGCTGCTTCAAACCCCTGCCGGTGCACTTGAGCTACCTTCAAAACACCGACTTCCTACACTGTCTTAAGATGTAAATTCAAACCGGGACGCAGGACTCCTAAAAACAGCAAATAGTAACAAACATGAAGCAGAAACAGAAAACGACTTCTTAATACAAGAACTGTCTACAAGAAAGGCGGTAATAATAACTCTAAATAACAACCCCTTTCACTGTTTCCAGCTGATTTGAGGAGGACCCCGCAGTTTTAAAGTAAAACTGGAAACCTGAATCCCCACCCCCTCACTTCTCCAGCTGGGCCTCGTCCCTTAATTCTAGAAATCGCTATCGCGAAAGCTAAGTGCCGAGAGAGTGCGAGGGCGCTTTTGGGTAGCAGAAATGTTAGCTCAAAATCGACGGCTTACAGTTATTCCTTAAAATGTTTAAACAGCATTCATGTAAAAGACACGGATTCACTTACTCCGATGACAGTTTTCCTCCCCTAGGCGAAGCACGCAGTGCGCCGGAGCGGATTATTTTTAGGGTGGTGGGAGACCAGCTGCTGCCTCCTATCGAGTTTCTAAATTCCACAGACTGCTCTGGGCCGGGGCGGACTCCGCCACTGTGAGGCAGGAAACTGGGCAAAGCCCCGCCGCGCAGCGCCTGGGGCCGGAGACCCTCCCCATCCCTGCTCTGCCCAGCTGTAACTTGGGGCGCGCGACGCAGTGATTTCACAAACCCGAGTGATAAGGAGTCACCTAAACTTCATTAGACACTGGGACTTGAAATATGATTCCATGATTCTCCAGAGTCGGGTTTTCAAACGTCAAAACACTCAAGGTATTCTTGTTTCTTTGTTTTGTTGTGTTTTTCCACGCTCTGCAAGCACCCTTTTATCAGCCACAGAAAGAAGTGAATTTGCGGGTTCGCTGCTTCCCCCTGAACGGATCCGGGAAATGAAGGGCTCATTGTAGGTAGAGGCACTCACTGCTGGGCTATTCGTGCGCGAATGTCTCACAGGAGCAAGGCAGGCTCAAGTCGAGTTTTCCACCTTTCCCCGGCGACCTGGAAAACTTGGCTACTCTGGTGGACCAGCCGCCGCGCAATCGAAGGGCGGCGACCCTTGCCCACGGTCCCCGAAAGTGAGACGCTGGTTCCCATGGACTGCAGAAACAGTTCCCCCTCTTCTCCTGTTCCCAGCCAGAGATATAATAAACTCTCGAGAAAACGTGTTTATAAAACGATCACCCCACAACTACTCCCCCGCAAAACGCAAGCGGTGAATTTTGTCCCCGACAACCCTCTTTAATTAACACTGGATTTTCTCAAGAGCCAGTTTTGAGTCAGCTTGAGATAAGCATTGTTTTCAGCAACTGTCCTATTCCAGTAAAACGTGGTCAGTCGGACGGACTGCTGCCCCCGAGGCTCCGCGCGGCATCCTCAAGGGGCACTGCTGGAGGACTGCGGGCTGCTGGCGCTGGTCCCCAGACCTGACCCCTAAACACCGGTGGCCTCCTGGCCTCTGCGATGTAGTGGGCCCAGGCCAACTCCAGTCCTGCCAGTCCCAGGGGATTTTTCCGCGGGCGCCCCACTCTTGAGAAGGTCGCTGCATTTCCGGGTGAGTGCCCGGCCTGCGCCGGCGGCTGGGACTTGAACCCGCGGCCGCTAAAGATCTGCAAGGCCACTTAGGCGGAAACCTGGGAGGGTCCGAAGACTCGGTTCTTGTGGCCTTTGAACCCTTGACAACTGTACCCTGGCGCTGCCTGCAGCGATGCAGGGAGATAAGAGCTCCCACTTCAACAGTGAGGATCCTAATACTATGGATGGAGGCAAGGGAGACCCTGTGAGCAAGTTGGACACGGGGCCAGACTCCCCAAGGCATCTGTGGAGAGAGAACTGGAAATAGAGGGTGCAGATAATCCCAAGATGAAAACTCTGAGTGTGACTACAGAAAATGAAGTTTACTTGAGGATTTTTAAAGAATATTACAATTATTAAGGTTATTTACAATGATATTTTAAAATCATGCTTATTGTAGAAACTTTGGAAGATGTGACACTGTACAGTGGAGATCCGTGAGCCCCCCCCCAAAGATACACATGTGCACACACACCCATAAAACTACTGAAAACATTTTTGTTACAGTTTAACAAACACAGGCCGTAGGGTGCATTGATTAAGAGGGTGGACTAGGAAGGCAGCCTGCTCGATAATCAAAGCCTGCTAGTTAGTTCAGTGACTGAACAAGTCGTATAAGCCCCCTGTGTATCAGCTTCCTGTTTAATGGGACAATAAAGGTAAATAATTAAAATAATTGAAAATTTAAATGGCTACATAATATTCCATTGAAAGTCTATACAATAACTTAAAATTCATTTTCCCATTGTTCAAGATATAGTTGCCAAATTGTACTAATATCTGTGATCAGATGATGACTTTTTTTTTCAGAAAATTTTTTTCTTTCTAACAAGGAATTTTTTAAGATAACTTATCTGAAAAATAATTACAGGATCAAAAGTGGTAAGTATCTTTAAGGCGGTCAACATAGAATGCAAAATCACCCTTCTAAAAAGTTTGTGGTAAGTCCCCCAAATTATATGAGATGACCGATTACACTCATACTCAAACAAGTATTGGATATTGCTATTTTTTTATTTTAAAAATATTTTAACTTGACAGATAATATTCAATTCTGTTATGAACAGTCAACATTTCCACAATGTTGATTAATCTTTGTATCCCCTCTTATGTGGCAGTTTGTTCACATACTTGTGTATTTCATGGGTCTTAATGAAGTTTATCATTTGTATAAATATTTAATAAGAGGACACTAAAATCAAATGTTTTATAAGAGGATACTAATCCTGCTTCATATATAAGACACATTTTTTCCCAATTTGTCATATTTAAAAAAAAGTGCTGCCTTTAAAAAAAATAAGAAAAAAGTTTTTATGTATTTAAAAAAGATTTATTAGAGCACACACTATGTGCTAGACACAGAAGCTAGTGATGAGTCAGATCTATAGGGTTTATTGCAATTCATTGAACTTTCTTTTAAGGGAAATTTTATGTTAGCAAATTTGCTGCTTGTTGCCATTGCAATGTATTACAATGCTTTCATTAATAAATATTTACCTTTATATTTGTTTAAAGGCTTTTGTAAAAATTTCACTTTGGAATTTATTTTGGCATTAAAATTTTCATGGGATGAAAATCTACATTAATATTTTATTTGTTACATGAACACCATTTACTGAATAACCTTTTTCTGCATTGTGGTATAATACCACCTCTGTCATATACACACAATTAGTTCATAATAAGATTTGTTTCTGGGCTAACTATTCTGTTTATTTGATGTGTTTCAATTTTTTATTATATTGCTATGATTAAACTGATTTGATTATTAAAGATTAAATTAAATTTTAACCCTCATAGTGCCAATCCCCTTTTCACTCTTTTCAAAATTTTCAAAGCACCTCTTTTTTGGGGATTTTATTGGAATTTCATTAAATCTAGAAAGTAATTTATAAAGAACATATTTTTAGTGCTTTGTCTCTTCACCCAGAAATGTAGTTTCTCATTTATTTGTCTTCCTTTTACCTCAATATTAAATTTATACAGGTCTGTGCATATTTTATAAAGATTGATCATACAAATTTCATATTTATGTTTTAATATTTGTACTGCTATTAAGGAGGATGTACTATTTATTTTATCCAAAAAATTGTATATTTATCTTATATCAAGACACTTTGGTAGGATTTCTCAACAATTGCAGAACTATTTCACCCTGTTACCTTGACTTTACAGAAAACATTATTTCTTCTGCAAATAGTGGTATCCTTCCTTCCCTTTTTCAAATACTTACAGCTTGTTTGCATTTTATCTCTAATTTTCATTAACCAAATTCCAGAAGTATTAAATAATACAAAAAGATAAATAATTGTTTGTCAGAAATATATACAATATATTTTTAAATCAACATTGGTAAGTAAAATTTTCATAAAATAAAAAGTATCCATGATACATGTAAAATCCAAACTCGTTTGAAATAGCCCTGACTCTGGATATGAAGTATTTCTATCTCTCCAGGAAGTTTTCTTATGCCTTTAACTAGTCAGTCTAATCATCTCTTACTTAGGGTAACAAGTGAGCTGAGGTCTATCACTAGAGATTAGTTCACAAATGTCATATAAAAGGAGTCATACGGTATGTACTTTCTTGTGTCTGGCTCCTTCAGGTAAGCATAATATTTTTGAGATTCATCCATGTTGTTATGTATATCAATTTTATTCCTTTTATTGCTGAGAAGAATTTCACTGTATGAATATGCACACTTTGTTTATTCATTCACCTATCTGTATATGTTTAGGTTATTTCCCATTTTTGGCAATGATGAATGAAGTTTCAGTGAACAGTTTTGTAAACAGTTTTTTTTTTCCCCTCTTGGGTAAATGTTAAGCAGTGGATTTGCTGAGTCATATGGTAACTATACATTTAACTTTACAGAAATTACCAAAATATTCTTCAAAGTGATTGAAACATTTTACATTCCTTCCAGAAAATTATGACTGTTCCAGTTGCTCCACAATCTTGCCAATATTTAGTATCGTCATTGTTGTTTTTCTAAATTTTAGTCCTCATATTGCATGTGAACTGGTTCTTGATTATGGTTTTAATTTGTATCTACCTTACAACAAATGATTTTGAACACATATTTTCATGGTATTACTGGTCATTTATTTTTTCATGGTAGGCATAACTCTACGGTGGCTCTCATTATATTTGCTCCTGGTGTTACTCCTATTATTACATTATGTTACATGACAAAAGGGATTTTGCAGATGTAATTAGGGTTACTAATTAGTTGACTTTAAAATAGGCAGATTAGAGTGACATCAGGAAGATCACAAAATAAGAGCCACCAGCCTTTATACTTCCACAAAACACAACAATTAGACAGCTATCCACAAAGAAAAATGGACCTAGGAGGGCTCAAAAATCCAGTTAGCAAAAACACAGTGAGAAAAAAAAAGAAAAGGTCACTTGAAAGATTGGCTTAGCAATGTCTGCAGATGGCTATAAACAAACAGGGATGGGGTATCTGTATCAGCCATATGTTGGTCCCATCATGATCCACAGTGGCTACTCTGTATAGGACCCTGGTAGTCTTAGCCACTGACTACCTCAACAACCCCACAGCAGAAAACACTGTAGTGTTTGTTGGCACTGACCCCATTGGCCTTCTCTATAGAGGACATCAGTAGCTTTTGCCATTGAAGTAACCAACAGCCATCCCACCATAGATCTCCAGGAGAGGGAAACATTGCCGCCCATTCTCTGAAAGGATGTGCTTTTGTGTTGACCAGAGACCAGGACTGCCACCTCTAACCCCAACCTCATGCATGCTCTGGAACTCAGAGCCACAGCTTCTCTGTACACATGCACCTTGGACACCAGTTCTGTGAACACTCTGCATATGTCCATACTCCATACCTAGCTCTATGGCTGTTGCACATATACTTGTGTCTCAGGCACTAGAGCCACTGCTGTCAAAGTAGAGCCAGTGTCCTGGACACAGAGCCACTGTCTGTCTGCATATGTTCATACTCTGGACCCTGGCTATATGGTCACTTGCTAGGCTTCTACATCTCAAACACTGGGACTCCTGTCAATGTGAGCAACCCAGAGCCCTGGACTCTGGAGCTGCTGTCTGTCCACAAGTGCCTGTGCTCCAGACTCTATCTCTGTGGCTGCTGCACAGATGCCCACTTGTGCATCAGACACCATTGCCACTGCCACAGTGAGGGTGCCCATGTGCTGGGCTTGGCCCCAAGAGGGATCCTCTCAACAATGACATCCCCTGTGAGACAAGAAGAGATCAAGAAGTTCCTAGAAGCCACCAAAGATCCCAACTGTTATTATCACCACTGCAGATATGCATTGCCTTGGCCATTAAAGAATCCTTCAATATTTGCCAATGTTAACCTCAGCTGATGTGGCTATTTCACCACTGGGCCTTCCCCAAAGCCATAATTTCCACATCTCATTCAGTTAATGCCCTCACACTCACATGCAGGTGAATGTCTTTGCCCAGCGAAGCTAGTCTATAAAGTCTGGAAGGAATAACTACTCCATTAATTGCTCAGATATCAATGCAAAACTATAAGGTACATGCAAAGTCAATGAAACATACCACCAGAGGACACAATTTTCAAGGGACTGACCTAAAAGAAATAGAGATTTATAAATTGTTGGGCAAAGAATTTAAAATAATTGTCTTATGGAAGCTCAGTGAGTTCAAAGAGAACGTACATAACTCAGTAATAAGAAAAACATGCAAGCTAGCAGCTCAACAGAGACATAGAAATCATAAAAAAATTTCTGGGGCTAAAGAATACAATTAATAAAATGAAAAATACAATAGAGAGCGTCAACAGCATACTTAATCAAATAGACCAAAAATCTGTGAACTGTAAGACAGGTCATTTGAAATTACCCAGTCAGTCTAAGTGAAGTAACTCAGGAATGAAAAACCAAACATCGTATGTTCTCACTCATAGGGAGCTAAGCTATAAAAATGCAAAGGCATAAGAATGACACAACTGACTTTGGGGACTAAGGGGGAAAGAGTTGTTGAGGGATAAAAGATTACAAACGGGGTACAGTGTATCATGCTCCAGTGACGGGTGCATCAAAATCTCACAAATCACCACTAAATAACTTACTATTGTAACCAAACACCACGTGTTCCCCAATAACCTATGGAAATAATAATTAAGAAATAAATAAACGTTG